TGGCCTAGATGACTTTTGAGAGCTTTTATTAATTTTTTAAAGTATAGTATTTTGCTCCATTACGAAAGTTGTTTCAGTTGATTATAATTAGATTCAGATGTTAGAAAGATAATGAATTTAAGAAACTGAATTTTGCCACAACTGTGCTAGACCACTGGCTGGACAGGCAGGTATTCTTTCTGACAAGCTTAAACTGATTTTAGGCTTTTCGTGCAGGCAGACTTAAACATTCGTGCACACACACTGCACAGCACCCTGGATCTGACAGTCGGGCTGCGTTACTCCTGGAACATTTAGTTGTGTGTGTCAGATAAGGCCCCCGCATGGTGTAACAGCTGAGAAGGGCGCTGGGACTGAGCCCCTGGGGCTGTCCCTGCTTTGTTACTGCCTGGGCAAGTCATCTTGTCTATAAAATGGAAATACCGGATTAGATCTGTGTTTCTTAAACTAAGGTCCACAGTTCTGTAGGGATTTGTGAATGTTGAGGGGAGGGGAGGTAGAGTTCCCAGATATATCTAGAATTTTAACTTCTGTGCTCGTATTAATACAAGCGTGTCCCCAGGCTTCTGGAACACACCTTTGAGTGAGTGTTGCCGTGGGGCCCCAGTGCCTGCTGGTGTCCCCGGCTGCGTAGCACAGAGTGACCCTGACAGCATAGTGTGGAACTGTCATTGCAAGTGCTTCTCAGCAGGCCTTGGTGGGTAGACACCAAGCATCTGCAGACACGTTCTTGGAGTCCTCAAGTTTGAGAAGTACTGAATTTGGTTGGTGTTAAGTATAAATTATTATTTCATTATATTGATGTTTTTCTTATTCTCACCTCCATACAGAAATAATTAACAGCCAACCAGGAATTTTGTGTATGTGTTTATAGAAACAGACAAATGATAGGTTAGTCTAGCACTTCTCAAACTGTTATCCAGAAAACCATTTTTAGGATTTTAATGTTAACATTGATTTACACAAAAAATTCACCACTCAAAGCGAGTTTCAGAAATGCAGAATTAAAGAATTTTTATGGCAAACTTCATCAAAACCCGTATCGTGCCAAAGGTGCACTGAATCTTCAAGAAGTGGCTGTAGCATGTAGCATTTCCCAAAATAGTGTATTGCAGAACCCCTCTCATCTCCAGAAACACAAAAGTTTAGGAAACACAGATCTTGACTGTACTAGAACCATCATGAATGTGTTCATCTGTGTCTGAGCCTCTGTTAATGGGATTTTAAATAAAGTGATAGAACATTCTCTGGTAGTTCTGTTGTTAAATTGTTTTTCTAACCTAGGTAATTTGGGAAAAATGTGTAATGATGCCTCTAAAAATACTTTAATAATTTCTGAGATAACATATTAAAACTGTCTACTTTTAAAACGTTGTTCTTAAAGAAATAGCCAACTTATTTATAAACCTGGCTGGAAAATATTCCATTGGTTTTTTTTTTTTTTTTTTTTCGAAAGGCTGTAGTACTTTTCAGTCATTTTAGAAAAATATGTTATATTGACATTAGGCAGATTATTAGCACTACACGGATTTCTAGGCAGACTAATAATCTTCATTTATAAGCCTCCTAACTCACCATCAGAGATCCATAAATGGCGTTTTTCACGTTAGTGCATTTTAGGAATCAAGCAGTTAGTACATCCTGTCTATAATATAACATCCTCAAACTTACATTTTTATAATACATCATTATGTCTTTCTCATGTGCTTTATGTGTATTTGCAAAAATAAGGCCAGTGTCATGCATATGCAATCATTGTACCAGTTCTTACAGGTTTTAGCTCCTCAAATTAATTATGTTACATAATGGAATGGCTTTTATCTTTACGAATTCATCTGTTAAAAGATATTTATAAAATATAATATTCAAATTAATCCTCAGAACACCTCTGGAGAAGTGGTTAGTTTTGTTGTTTTATTTTGTAAGTAATGAAGTTGAGACTCAGTGGCTTAAGTGATGAAGCATCACCGCAGAGTGTCCTCACAGCACCTCTGCATAGAAGTGTCAACATCCTCTGTAATTCCATTTTATATGTCATTTGAAAACCTCAGTGCTGGAAACACATAATGTAAACAGATTGTTTAAGAAGGTAGAAGAAGTGGCAGAAATAATTTAAAAGAAATACGTAATTTAATTTGCCTGAAGTGCAGTTACATAAGAACTTTTTTTTTCAACTTATCTTATTAGCTAATCCATTTGAAGAAATGTGTTGCAAATTGAATGTGAGATACATAAATAATACCTTTCTTTGATTTGACTCAACCACAGGCATCAACTATCTAGGCTCACAGCAGGTCAACAAGGTAATTAATAACAGTGGGAAAACTTAGGAGTCGACTAACGCAAGCGATGTTACTGGCTTACTTCTCTTCCCAAGGAAGATTAAGTGAAGCCATTTGTTTTCTACACATGTTGTATAAGTATCTGAATCTTTATGGAATCCTTTTGTATTTTCTGGGCAAATAGCACATAAATTTTTTTCTTCTAAAACCATGGGCACCTTTCACTTTTGCAGCAGAAGCACAAGAAAATTCTTCACCTGGGAAGTACCCCTTTTGTCTCTGTATATCTATCTCACATGTCAGTTTCCTTCCCACACAGTATTTTCCTGTGTGGCCCACACATCTCAGCAGCACTGCCCAGTAACCAGGGGAGGCTAGAAGAAGGCAGCTCCACAGCCCAGAGGGTTCTCTCCTGTGACCTCTCGGAGGTGCAGGTGCCCAGAACGTGTGAGGCTCCTCTCATCCAGAAGGGGCATTTCAGCCCTGATCTCTTGGAACTTGTCCGAGATTTCTGGGTAGACTGATATTGTCAGACTAGTGTTTTCAAAAATGTGTTTCTTTCTGAAACAATATCTTGTGGTCCTGTCTGAATGTTCTGTCTGAAAAATTGCTCCTGAGTTGTAGGTCACTGTGCGTGAGAGTGGGTGGAATGCTGCCTTGTGTGGGTGCATGCATGAAGGTCCCCCCCTCCACACACACACACAGTGATAGGTTTGCTGCCAGGGATTTGTAGCACAGTGTGAGTATGTCATGAGAGGGGCGTCTTTGAATTAGTATTTGACAAACCCATTTATAAACATATGCGGATATGCCAGCCCATTATAGCTTATTACAAAGTTCCAGGTACTACATTTGATCATAAGACTGAAATTATTCTCAATACCCATAAAGGCTCTTCCCTTTATTGGTGTAAAATGTGTCTCTTTTGGAGCTTGTGCTTTGTGACATAGCCTTGTACTTGATTGCTCACCCGGAGCTCCGTCTTACCTTCTTACATCCGAGATGACAAAGGAGCTTGGCATCTGAATCTTGCTCAGTTCCTGGCCTTCTCATTTTGCAGTCTGAGATGGGGCGGAGCAGGTTTTGCAGATTCACAAAGGGCAACACGTGGCCAGTGGGCTCCAGGCGTGCCGCCCTGGAAATGATTTGAGATACTCTGTGCATGTCAAGAACATTTTATGAGCCCTCTTGTCATCAAGCGTTGACAGTTGTTAATCTTGTTCTGTTCAGAGGAGTATAAGCGTACAGTAAAATACCGGTAAAGCTGTTCTTTAAAATCCTGTCTTTTAAAAACATTTGTATAATGCAAACTTTCCCATGATAATGAGGGTGCACAGCACATGCTGTTCTTCTAAATCTGACAAATTTTTAGGAAGACAAACAAAAGGCCAGTGGGAAAAAACAAGACCAAGCAAGTTGAACCACCACTTCCATAATTAATGAATGTACCTCAACCATTAAAATACACTTTTTTCATTGAGAAATGCTTATCACAATACCACTGCAGGTGTTTGTGTGCTGTGGTAGATAATATCTTTCCTTCAGGTTGCATCTGATATTTTTCAAAATTATAAATGGTATATGTTATACCGTATTATCTTTAAGAAAATATTTTCTTTTTTTTTTTTTTTTTTTTGAGACAGAGTCTTACTCTGTTGCCCGGGCTAGAGTGCCGTGGCATCAGCCTAGCTCACAGCAACCTCAAACTCCTGGGCTCAAGCGATCCTTCTGCCTCAGCCTCCCGAGTAGCTGGGACTACAGGCATGCGCCACCATGCCGGCTAATTTTTTCTATATATTTTTAGTTGTCCAGCTAATTTCTTTCTACTTTTAGTAGGGACAGGGTCTGGCTCTTGCTCAGGATGGTCTCGAACTCCTGACCTTAAGCGATCCTCCCACCTCGGCCTCCCAGAGTGCTAGGATTACAAGTGTGAGCCACCATGCCCAGCCAAAATATTCTTTTCTTTAAGAATATGATTCGATTCTCTTTCCTCACCTTTTAAAATGAGTATTTGGATTTCCTAATTAATTACTAAAGTATATCTTACAGCAGCCAAAGTCCCATATAGGCTTTTGTTCAGGTGTTAGTTAAGTGGCACAAACGTTCCTCGGACATTGTGAACGATTTACTTTCATTTAGAAAAGTATTTATATTCCGGGGAATATAGAATAAAGTTTTCATAAAAGAACCGAGTAATACATTTCACTGTTTCTAAATCATATGCTATATCTTTATTTTTAAATGTTGCCATAGAGTTAAGTGTTTTAATTGCCAGCTCTTCAATTAATAAACACTCAGTGTGTTTGTTCTGCTTGGTCTCTCTCATATGTCTTTCTGACATCCTTGAATAATACAATGGCTCAAAATTTGGATGAATATCCAAGGAACATGGTCAGAACCTTTAAGTTACCACCTGTTGAATATTTCGGGTTTTAAAAGATTCATAATCCAGATTCAGAAACTGAAGTTTGTTAATTTGCAAAAGGCTGGTGTTTCCTCTGAGGCTTTGGGCATGGGAAGGGCTGGGCTCAGTAGAGCAAACTGGTCAAAGATGCCCTACTCTAGCTTGTCTTGATGAAAAATTTTTATTACATAGTCACTGAAATTTAGTATTTAAGTAGTGCTGTATAGTCAAGTTCTATTTCTTTGTTCTGCTGTGATATTCACCTGAGGTTATTTTTCTGTTTTTTGTTTTGTTTTGTTTTTTAATAATCTTAGGTTCACGCAAAGAATCTGCTCCACAAGTTTTGCTTCCAGAAGAAGAGAAGATTATAGTTGAAGAAACTAAAAGTAACGGCCAGACTGTGATAGAAGAAAAGTAAGATGTCTTCCCATGTTTTAAAGCAGGCCTCTGACCCCGCAGTGGGTAGTGGAGTCAGGACAATTCTCTGAGGGGCTGGGCTGTGGCTTCAGAAACTGCACTTTAAAGTTTCTTCATAGGTTAAAGGTAACTTTGACTAAGTTAACACAGAAGTTGGTTGTTTTAAAGTTGTGGATTTAGCTGTGGCAGTGAATAGGGCCAAGCAGCCCTGGTCCCTTCTCTTAGCCTCGTGGCGTCTCTGGTAAGTTTCCGTATGTCCTCTTGATGTTCGTGCTGTTTATGTGTTTATTCTGTTTCCTATTTCAGGAGTCTGGTTGATACTGTATATGCATTAAAGGATGAAGTCCAAGAATTAAGACAGGTGAGTCATAATTCGTTTTTTAATGTTTTGTTTATGGCAGAAAAAGAGAAAATATTATATTGAAAATAAAACTGATTGTCCATAAGCAAAAAAACAATAAAAGGATACCATGTCTTTCTGAATTCCAGCACATAAAATGATTGGTCTTCTGTAAGTGTGATAGACCAGGAAATGAATTTTTAAAGTGACTTGTTTAAACTCTTTCTTTTAACTGTGTTGTTTTCGATGTCATAAACCATCTCAAAATCTGTTGGAATAATACTTTAAATTAGCTAAAATTCTGTCTAGTTAAAAGTCCTATTAGAGGCCTCTTGTGATTAGTCTCCGCCAGTGCACTGTCCTTGTGCTCAGAAGTCAGTCGGCGGGTCAGTTACACTTGGCTAGCTAACCAGGTGTGTTTGTGTATAATTTGTGTGTGCAAATGGATTTGGTCTCCTGCCCAGCAAGGCCAGGGAAGGTTGGGGGGGTGTAGGCTGAGGAGCAGCCTGGGAACAATGTGGCCTGGGATGTGGAGGGGCTGGATAGAGAGCCAGTGGCCACGGTGCGGGTCTGGACACGCTCTCAGCCTTTCTGAGCAGTGTCCACAGTGGCTTCCAAGTACTTCTCTTCCTTATTTGATGGCTTCCCTGTTCACGCTTCGCCCCTAGCAGCAGGACACGTGTGTGCACGTGTGTACCTTTTACATCCCGAGAAATGCCTGTGTTATCATGCACAGAAGCAGGTTCTTACTCATTCACTCCTTTGTTCATTCAGTGGCTGTTGCTACCATTGCTCTATATAACTCTCTAAGGTAATTACAAGTCTGAAAAGAAGCGGTTGGATAGAAGCTGTCCCATTTGCTCTTTTCAGCCATTTTCTTATGGTATATTATAGAGAGATTCTTTCATTTATGAATTGAAATAAATATGGTCCATTAGGACTGTTTTTCCATCTGCAGTTTGTCTGGCTCCCAGGAACTGTGCAGTAAAGAGCACCTCAGTGTCTGTCAGATGGCTAAGCTTTGCCGGCCCCCGACCTCCCAGCCCACAGGCAGACGCACGTGGGATCTGAGTAATCAAGGTCCCGTGCAGGATGTGCATCTGGGAAAGGAAAGCCTACCAGTGCCAGCAGTAGTGATCGTACTGTGGCCTGCTTGATTTACAGGATAACAAAAAGATGAAGAAATCTTTAGAGGAAGAACAGAGGGCCCGCAAAGACCTGGAAAAGCTGGTGAGGAAAGTTCTAAAGAACATGAATGATCCTGTTTGGGATGAGACGAATCTGTAAGGACGTCCTTCATTCTTTCTGTCAAAGACCAGCTCCAAGATCAAGCCGGGAACTCCTGACCCAAGCCAGGTGCCATTCAGGACTGCAGGGCAGGACTGGACACAAAGTCATCTGCTCTCTGTGCATAGGAAAGCTGGGGCCCGACACGAAAATCGAATGGTCAGCCCATTACTAAAGAATCCAGACAGGAGATGCATATGCTGAGGACCTGAGCTGCGTTAATCTCACTTCTGCTACCATCTCAGTTACCTCATTTTGCAATAAGTTCAGTGACTGACTAAAAGTCCTGGTTTTCCAGACTTTCAATTGGATATATAAATACTATATATACATGTTTCTTGTAAATATTCCATTTTGGATGCATACCCAAGGTCGTTGTGTCTGGGCTAATCCCCATGCTGGAATTCCCTTTCCACTAACCCTTGCAGCCATGTGAATTAGAAACCCTGTCCACGTGCCCGTCGAAAGCAGAGGTGTGGGGAAGTGTCAGGTAGATGCCTGGTTGGTTCTGCACCACTATGCTCTCTATAGTGCTATAAAAATACTTCCCACTCCAGTATGTCTAAATAATTTAACCTTATTTATATCTGCAAAGATGCTTCCATCCCATTCGAAAGTCTTCTCATAAAGCAGTATTACAGTCTTAGACCCACCAGCCTCCAAGGGCAGCACGCTGGCTGGCCGAGACCCAGCCCTGAAATCGGGGGAATCACCTGCACTGCCTGGTGTCCACCCAAAAGATGCTTGCTCTCATCTGCCGTGTCTAAGTACCGTCACTGTCAGAGTGTGCTCACTGCACTTTGGGAGATCACCCAGACTTTTCTATATAGGCTAGTTTAATAATGTGACAAAATGCACTGTTTTTTCCTCCTCCCCCACCCCCCGCAAAGAGAGATCTTACCTAGAACCTGTAAATAAAATGTATTATTTATTATATCTCACTGCAGCTGATGACAGCAGACGGAGGTGATGCTGTGACTCTGATACTGGTGGGTAGGGTTCCGCCATCAGGCGCTGTCAACCCCGAGGTCTGCTTTACCATCGGGTGCAGCCAGCATGGCTCAGTGCTCACTAAAAATAAACTTTCCCTCTTTCAGCAAGAATAAAGCAATATACATCTTGAGTTCGACTAAGTAATGAAAACTTAAACATGGGAACATTCCCCCACTGTGTCCAAATGCAGAAGAAACGAGGAAGGAAGCCTTTCTGCGCCCCGGCTTTGCTGGTCTCTTTGGGCCCTGCCGGCTCTGGAGAGTCCGAGCAGCCCTGGACAGGAAGCCCGGCCCATGGGGCCAGGTTTTTGTTCTTCCGAAATAAATAATGGTGACCACAGGCACTTTCCTTTGTTTCCCTTTCTCTGAAGAGGATGATTTTAAAGTGAGATAAAATTTTCATAGAACAAGTGTTATATATGTTAAAACCAAAATGGCAGCACCATGCATTGCAGAAGTCTCAGAACAACTCGTTTGGCATCAGATGTGACTTTTTCATTCTCCATGTGTTGGTCACATTGCCCTTTAACTGCACCCAAACCTTTGTATTCTGATGCCCTTCAGCTGGGCGGCTTTGAAGATGGTTTGTTTTCTGGCTGTTTATGGTTCTTCTTCCATCCCTTGCTAATCCCAGTCTCTGTGCCCAAGCAAGCCTTGCCAGTTTCCTGCCCACACCTGGGTGCAGGGTCTGTCTGGGCCCATGCTTCAGAACCTGGCCGCCTTACTGGGACCTTTAATGAGAATTGCCAATTTCCTATACTTAGCGTTTTATTCTCTAGTGCTGGGACAAGAAAAGATCGAGTCTTTTTCTTTTTTGCCTTTGGTAAGCTCTTTTTTTACAAGTCATTTTTTTGGTGATGCGTAAGACGTTGCAGTGGAAAACAGTTAAACTTGAGTGTATCGAAGTTTGCTGTCGTAAGCAGATTTTAACTCAGGAACAACTCTCCTCCGATCTCTCCACCGCTTGTGACAGGCGATGTTGCTGTGCCGCTCTGCCGAGAGTGAACTCCAGCCCGTTCCCCGGCACCACTACCGTTGCTGTCTGCATCCCCGGGACGGATCTCTTACAGACCTGCCTTAATGATTAGATTGGAGTATTTCATAAGAACACTTGTGTTTTTAATGTCTCTTCCCCCAGAAGGGGGTGGTCGTTGAGATCCTTGTGTTAATGCCTTGCCTTTTTTTTTTTTTCCTGTGGATCCAATATCTTCCTAGGCTTTTTAGGGAGCAGAAAAAATGCATCTGAGAGCAATTCTTTTTACAAACCTGCCCTGTTGTATATAACTGTGTACATTTCACCGTGTAACCTCCCAAGAGGGTGGGAATTTGATACAGAGGTTAAAGGGGACACTATTTACCCAAGGGTTACTCCTTTGCTCTCACCTTTTATGGATGAGGAGACGAAGCCATTTCTTATCCTATAGATGTGAAGCACTTTCGGTTTTAAACGCTGTTGAGATGTAGCATCTGAAGCCCATTTCACTGAACTCGGTGACGTCTGTGCTTGTCCACATGCACTGGGCCTCTGGGGCCTGCGATAGCTGCCCTGGTTTGTGTGGACTTCTTAATGCCGGCCATTCTTCACCCTCCTGGACAGCCAGGGCGCCACTGACAGCCTGGAGAAACTCCTGCTTTAAATGTCACAGGCGGTCCTGTGTAGACTCGTGTGGACTGCTACGATGTTGATGCTACATTGTTGTAATTATTAAACTGATTATTTTTCTTATGCCACAAAATATGTCACTTTATCTTCTTTGATGTGTTTTCTGTACGTGTGTTAGTGTTACAGTTTCTTTTGGCTTTTTTAGATTTTCAAGTTCTGGTGTGAATTTCTGATACTGGAAATTATGTTTGCCTTTAAAATCTTGAGTTTGAGAATATTTGAAGACAAATGGATTAGAAAAGAAAACTGAAAGGTTTAGGGAAAGAAGGGGAAGCAACAGTGCATACCGTCACTCTCCCCTTCCTGCTTCCGCTGTCTTCACGACTTCCGTGTTGGAGGGTGTCAGTGAGCCATTTCGTGGGGCTGAATAAATGAAAGCATTTGTGAAGACATCTGTGGGGGTCCCTTTTAGGAATTGTCATAAGACAAAAGAAAATTTTTGTGTGCTTGTCTGTTAAAGTCTTACCCTTTATTTCCTCAAGGTGGGGGCAGGTGGTCCTTGTTGAATGTTTACTGGTTGAGGCACCGCTCCATCCAGTACAGACTGTTGGAAAATGGTATTCAGGTGAAAGAAAACGAGCTCTGCTAGTTAGAATTACAAAGCTGCGAGTTGTATAGAAAATTCCCTTGGTGTGTCACCTTCTTAGAACTTTTACCTTCAGACCTAAGGGAATAAAGCTAATAGCATAGTCACCTTAGAAACTTTGATTTAAAAGAAAACTTTTGGTTAGATAACCTGGTAACTACTATTTTAAATTCTACCAGACTTCAGGGAGACAAATGATGGTGTGTACCTTACTACCAAGTCTTTCTGGATGTTGTGATTTGTGCCCGTAGAGTGTTTTAGATTTTCCAGAGCTCTCATAAGTTACTCCTTGGCTATTCAAAAAGTAAACCCGTGAGGCAGCAAGGACAGGCAGTGCTAAGCTGAGAGATGCAGGCAGCATGATCCGCCCTGTGGGGCTGGGTGTTGGGTGTCCCCGAGTCATAGCTGGACGTGAGCTCAGGTTGAGTTGGGCAAGCCATACTTTAGGTTAGGACGAGGGAGCTCGTGACTCTGAGCCTGGTGTCCTCATCTGGATGTGGCACTGGTGAGGATCCTCTGCAAGGGTGGCAGTGAGGACCGGGTGAGGAAGCCCCTGCTCCATGGTACATATGCCTGGCTCGGGTGGTAGCCTTAGGCTGCATCGTGTTTCAGCCATTTAGGGCACTACAGGGCGGCTGTGCAGGATGCCCAGCCAACTAGAAGTTCTTTGAAGAACCCAAGTGAAGCCAGTATCTAAAATTTCAAGGATTTTAGTTTTTTCAGGCTAAAATGAGTAGGCATTGAAAATATAATTTCTGTTAATTTGCATTGTAACTAGAATGTTGGTACATTAGACACCTAATTTGAATTGTTTGTTTTACTAGAGGGGTATGCATTTATATTTTTTTTGCTAGTTTTTAATTATAAAAATAATACCTCTTATGGTGAAAATATAAACAGTATGCAAGAATATAAAGTAAAAAGTATATATTCCCTCTCCCAATGCCCTCTCCTTATTCCACAGAAGTAACCAATGTTATTTGTTTTGTATATTTTTGTTCATTCTTCTGAGCAAGTGCTAGTATGTGGTGGTTTGTAACTTTTCACCCCAGTGAGATGGAGATGTCATTGAATAGATTCTTCCGTAACTTACCTTTTTTTTTTTTTTTTATTTCAGCATATTATGGGGGTACAGATGTTTAGGTTACGTATGTTGCCCTTCCCCCCCACCAAGTCCGAGTTTCAAATAGGTCCATCCTTCGGGTGGTGCGCATTGCACTCTTTGTGTATGCATATACCCGTCCCCTCCCCCCTCCCCCCTGCCCAATATCCAATAGATGTGTAACTTACCTTTTTGAACTTTATGTTAGCTGTCTTTCCACATGGGTATATATATTAATAGATTGGACCCATTCGTCCTTTTTGACTGCTACGTATGTCTCCATTTCTCGGGTGCACTGCTTTTATTTTAGTCAATTACCAGGAGGTATTTGGGAGGGGCAGTTGCTGTTCCTGAAATGCTCTGATGCATATCCTTGTCTATACAACTGCGCAACTGTGTGAGCACAGCTGTAAGATTAGTTTCTGAAAACGTGTGCGTTTTTAATTGTGATTGAATTTGCCAGATTGCTACAAGGTGTTTTAGAAACGATATCCTTGGCAAGTTTACAGTTGCAGAGAAGGAATGGGGCACAAATGCCATCCAAAACATCATCTTGGTTCCTGATGCATTCGGATGATGGCATTGACCCCATGTGAGCACGGTCACATTAGCATGGTGTGGGAGAGGAGAAGATGGGGGAGCATGTGCCCATCCGCCTCTGTGGTCGGTTCCTTCTTGTCTCTGGGCTCTGTTCTCTATCACATTTACCGTTCCCATTACACTGATCTTTCTAAAGCAGATTGTAGGCAACTTTCCCTCTGGCCTTCCCCCCTTCCCTGGAGTTACTCTAAAGCAAATGTTTCTCAGCATGTGGCAGGTTGGGCGGGGCCTTCCTTGCCAGCTCCTGGGGAAGTGGTGGTCCCTGCCCTTACCCCTTGGCCTGGAGAGACGATTTCTGAGGGTGCGATGCAGGACCCTCCATTTTTAACGTCACCAGGAGTGTTGTGTTGGAGGCCATAGTCATATAAAGATCCCCAGGAGAATAATGTTTGTGTTACTATGGAGCTGCTCTGTTCAGGTTGTTCACATTTCTGTATCTGAGGCATTTACTTAAGTCTGAGCAGCCACATGAAGGACTTGTAACTAGTCTGTGTGGCTGATGAAACTGAGCTTCCCACAGTGCTGCCGTCGCCTCCCGTGTCGTTAGGGGGCACATGGTTCTTGCTGTACCACTAAGAAAAGTTGCTGCCCATCATAATGTAGAGGGTCATCAATTCTAAAACTTGTGCAGGTTTGAGAGGAGTTTCCATTTTTTAGAAGCAGGGAAAGTGAAATGAACTATGGCTTTTGGGGTCCTGTCCCCAGCACTCCCTACCTAAAGTCTCTCGAGTGGGGCTCCACTTCCTCCCCACTCTGCGCAGATCTGGGATGTAAGAAGGTAAAATCCATCAGACAGGAACCACCTCCCCTTTTACCAAACTCATGCACCTCCCTTCATCAGACCTGTTCCACGATCTTATTCCAGTAGAACCACCTTGGGCCTTGCAGGAGCCTGACTCCTTCACCTCTCTCCCGAATACTGGGTCTCTTAACCAGACCCTTCACTTCTCTTGCATGCTATTTTTTTTTTAACTTTTTTATTATGGAAAGTGTCAAGCTTATGTAAAAGTAGAATAATGAACGATAATTGCTCTCCAAGACCCACGAACATTCCAGGCCATGGTCTGTTTTCCAACTAAGGAAAATTGCAGCGGTGACTCAGGATGACCTGTGCCCGAGGGCCCATTCCAGGAGGGCTGTGGGAAGGGCAGCTGGTGTCTCCAGCACCCTGGTCCCTCAGGGGCCCCAGCGTGGCTGGCTTCCCTTTTGTGAACATAGTAACAAAGCTGCTTCAATTCCACGTTTCCCAGCCACCAGCCTGCTGCTCTTTCCCCTCCGCAGACAGAACGCTCATAAGCGTCTGCACCTTGTCCCCTGGCCTACTGACCCCAGCCCTCCCCAGTGCCTGTGTCCTAACTGCTCCTGCTCTGCTCTCAGCCCCCCACGCTGACCTGCGGGGTTCTGTAACCTTACTTGCTCCTACCCCTGGGGGTGTTGGCATTCTCTGTACCCAGGACATGGCCCCACTAGCCTGGTGAAGCCTTATTGTTTCAGATGCCAACTTGGTCTTTATTTCCCTCCCTTCACCTCCCACCAAGCTGCACTCCTCGAGAGTGGTGATGGTGTCTGCATGCGATGACTCTGGAGTCCTGCAAGCCCCTAAGGCCTCGGGTGGCATCTGCTTCTCCCATTCCTCGCAGATGGTCGTCAGTCTCATCATAGTGCTGCACGGGAACATGTGAAGGAGGCAGGTTGGGCTGTACCAGGAACACGTGTGCATACCGTGTGCTGCATCTTGTTCTGCCTATTTTCTTCCCTTTTGAGCGCTTTCATCTTCAAAATTGCCGTTTCTGTGTGCTCTGCTCACGTGGTGCTCACCTGTGGCCAGCAGTGCTAGTCTTGAAGGCTCCTTCCTGCGCCGGAGAGGGCTCCAGCCAGCAGGGTTCATGCTCTGGCCCACGCCCCACTGTGTTGCAGGCCTGGCCAGGACAGATCTTGCCAGTGGTAGCAGTTTCACAAGCGTATACAACCCTCAAAACATCAAATTGTACATTTTAAGTGGGTATAGTTTGAGTATGTCAATTAATGCCTCGATAAAACATTTCAGTAGAGCCGGTTTCCTGAAGGCTCTCACACAGATGGCTGCGTGCCAGGTGTCAGTGTACAGGGCTGGATCAGCTCAGATCCCACTCCTTTGATGTCGTGTTGAATGGGATTCAAGGCCAAGAGGGCACTGAGAGGAGGGTGACCTTCAGGTGTTGCAGCTCGTCTCGAAGGGTCGACCACCACTGCCTGATCATGGTCGACTCAGACATTCTAGATTTCTGAGACCCTGCTCTGCTTTCACAGAAGGGAGAATCATGGTTACCCTCATGGTAAATATCTTCACAATGAGGGTGCCTGTTGGGTGCTTCTGGCGTCTAGAGGTAGAGTCCAGCGTCCTACGGTGCATAGGTCAGCCCCACGACAGAACTATCCGGCTCGAGATGTCAAGAGTGCCAAGGTTGGCCGGGTGCGGTGGCTCACACCTGTAATCCTAGCACTCTGGGAGACCGAGGCGGGCGGATCGCTTAAGGTCAGGAGTTCGAGACCAGCCTGACCAAGAGCGAGATCCCATCTCTACTAAAAAACAGAAAGAAATGATCTGGACAACTAAAAATATATATAAAAATTAGCCGGGCGTGGTGGCACATGCCTGTAGTCCCAGCTACTTGGGAGGCTGAGGCAGAAGAATCGCTTGAGCCCAGGAGTTTGAGGTTGTTGTGAGCTAGGCTGACGCCATGGCACTCTAGCCCGGGCAACAGAGCAAGACTCTGTC